TCAGGGTTTAGGGTTTAGGGCGTTCACCCTGACGCTTTTGTGTATGACACAGAGGTCTGAGGAGTAGTTTTCCATCAAGCCCATAACCACAGTATAATATGCCCCAGATTTTTTTCCGATTCTTAACGCCGCTATATCCACAACGCAGAGATCCGAATTCCCGAAGGCCCTAAACCCTAAGCCGTGACACGCCCAAAAGCCTACATCCGGCCCCAAATCGCAAGCGCTCCAGGCTTCACAGTGGCTTGTGCCGCCCTGGGCGAACTTTGGCAAACATCTTGACCCTCAGGGGTAGGCACGCTTAGACCGCAACACCCTACTCGCTAAACTCCCTTTTGTTTTTGGACATGGAGTTTAGGGTTTAGGCTAGAGGGGCCTCTCGGAAACAAATAAAAATATCATTCCTTCGGGTTCCTGGCCATACAAGGGCTCTATCGAAAGGAACTTGGGGGGTCCAACACTCAGGCCCCACCTGGGCCCTGGAAAACGTAGCTTTTAGGGCTCCTGAGAATGATTTCCTTAGAATTGTAGTCCTTGAAAATGCTAAAGGGCCCTGTTTAGGAGCTTTTTGTTCGTCCGTTGCGTTTCTAAGGAGATGCTGCTGCCACTGCTTACAGGCCTTTGCTTCGATGTCGAGGCGGGCAACGGGGGTGTGTGTCTGTTTGTTGCTTGCTATATTCCTCGTTTTTGGTGTTTTGAGCATCTCTGCTTGACGGTTCCTTGGATTGTGAATGACTGTTGGTCTATGTCGTCGTTGATCATAACGGCTTGATCGGGTTTAGCAGAGTGTTTTGTGATGAATGGCATGGTTTTTGCAGGGTTTGCCAGGGTTGTTGTCGCTTCGCGAGGTCTGCAGGGTTTCGCTTTGGAGCCCGCACAATGTGTATCCTCGCCCCTGCGGTAGTGGGGAGGGCTGGAAAGTGTTTTCCCAGAGGTTTTAATGTTTAGGTTCGTTTCAATATTTCGCCCTCGATCAATACTATGTTGGGGGGGTTCCTTATTATAAGTTTAGGAGAATATACCTCAAAACCCTATTCGAATTATTAAGGCCACTATATTAGATTCAGCATTCCATGGTCGGATTGGAGATTCGAGATTCATTGGGGCATAGGTGACTAGATTGAACGGCCTATGATACCAACTGTCTCCATTGCAGCTCCTTTTTGGGTGAAACAACTTTAAGGTTCGGATTCAATAATAATGAGACAAAGGCCGCCAAAAGAGACCAGGTTGTTTAGGGTTTAGGGTTCGCAGGAGCGTGCCCTAGACATTGCCGGGCCTGTCTTTTCCCATAGGCCCTGAATCTCAAACCCTGGAACCCTCAACTCCTCGGCTCCACACGCATCAAGCAGTGCACTTCCGTGACCCTGTAGACATAATAAGATGTCAAAGAGTTTGTTTTTGCCCTCAACCGTTTGCGGTCTCTAGGGCAACAACCCCTCACAAAACCTCAGCTTGTTTAGGGTTTAGGGTTTAGGGTTTAGGAGCTTGTTTAGGTGACCTCCTTCGCCTTTGTGCAGCCGCTTGCCTGCAGTTCTCAAGATCAGGGGTGAACCTGATCGAACCTTTTCGCCGTAGGGTTCCTCAATATGGGGGTTTCCGAAAATAGGGGACCCTAATATCGTACCCCAAATGGTAGGATCCTTATTTTAAGGACCCCAGAATAAGGTACCCCCTATTTTCGGAAACCTTTATATGTTCTTACTATAATACGCCCCGAGACCCGATCAGACGCGTCTGGTCGGCTTTCCGCACTGTCGTTTGTCAACGTAAAGGACGGACAAGGACTGTGTTGAACTCCAAACCGCAAGCCTAACCCCAAACCCCAAACCCTAAACCCTAAACACCCCAAAACTCTAAACCCTAAAAAACCCTAAACCCTAAACCCTGAACCCTAAACCCTCAAACCTGGAGACCTGAACTCCGAAAACCCAAGCCTTATAACATAAGCCCTACAGCCGTACAGCGTAATTCTACCTATAGTCTCCATTGAAGTTCCTTTTTTCGGCGTAACCATATATATAGATATAAAAAGGATTTTATAGGGTATCCCCAAAAAAGAAATACAATGGAGACTATAAGTAGGGTTGGAAGTATGGGCCCCTAATATGGGCCCTTAGGCCTTTCTAGGGATCCTTATAAGGGTACACATGGGGCATATAGTAGGTGTATAAGGATCCCAGGGTTAAGGGCCCATAGTAGGCATCACTGCCCCAAGACCCAAAGCCCAAGACCTACCCGCCGGTACCCTAAACCCTGAAACCTACTTGGCGTTCATGTGGCGTAGTCCGTATTGGTATAAGCATGATCCCTTGGGGTAGCAGTTATAAGTAACTTCGGAGCCCAATAGGTAAACTTTGAACTTTTTTGGCATATTAAACCCCTACCAAAAGAAAAGTCCAAACTTTTTTGGGCCAGGGTACTTGGAAGCTAAGGTAACTAATAGACTAAGTCTATGTGTACCTTCATGCTTTGAAACCCTCAACCCCCAACTCCTCTGGCCATCCTTACGTCTGAACCCCGAATCTGCGATCCCACTTAACGCCTAGAGAGCTATCTCTATGGCTTTAGCGTCACAGCCTCGTTTTTTAACCCTAAACCCTATACCCTGGACCCTGAATCCAAAACCCTAAACCCTAAACCCTGACCCGGCTTGCTTTTTAGGGTTTAGGGCATTTGTGTTGAAGGCTGGCGATCTGCTGCGGGTCGCTGCTCTTCTTCGCGTTGGTATGAGCTGGGGAAAAGCAGTGCAAGAATGGGGGGGGGGGGGCCTTAGCGTTTAGGGCTTAGGGTTTAGGTTTAGGGTTTGTGGTTCTCTCAGTGTCGCTAAGACCGCACAAAGACATCCCCAAACCTGTACGCCGGTATTGGAAGCGTCAAGCCCGAAGACCCGTTCTTGGGAGGGCTAGTCCCTTTATCTTGAGTTTGCGCGGAGCCTCACAGCTTTGAACCCTAAGCCCTAAACGCCCTTAACCCTAATATAGGCGCTTACATAATTACCAATACTGCTTTGGGGGTTCCTTACGATAATTATAGTAGAATACACCCCAAACACTCATTCTAATTATTAAGGCCCCTAGATTGAACCCTAAACCCTAAACCCTAAACCCTAAACCGTGAACCCCGGCCTGAGAGGCAATATCATCCTTAAAGTTGCCCCCCAAAACCCGCTGTGTCCCTTGAACCCGGCACCCACATACTATAGGGGGCAAGATAGAAATTACCAATACTATGTTGGTTTTTTAGAATAAGTCTAGTATATTATGCCCCCCAAGGCTTTATTCTAGTTATTAAAGCCTCCAAACCATAAACCCTTATAGTAGCCCTTTCCCATAGACCCTAGCCCGGTTTAGGGTTTTAGGGTTTAGGGTCCCTAAACCCGAAACCTAAACCCCAAGCCCCAAAAACTTGAAGCCGCAAATGCTTCTTTAGCCCCCACGAAAGACCTTAAGGCAGCGGAAATCAACACTGAGCCCGGAAAGTCCTATAACAACTCGTTAAGAACTCTATGACCCCCGATAAGCCATCATAGGGAACTCTTCTGAAGGAGCCCCTAAACCCTAAACCCTAAACCCCTAAACCCTAAACCCTAACTTACAGGAGCCTTTATAGGTCCCGAACAAAAAGCCCCCAACGCCCCGTAGCCTTCCGGTCTCCTTAACCGTTGAACCCCAAGCCCCCAAGCACCTATAAGCCCCAAGCCCTAAACCCCGAAGCCCCTGAATAACCCCTATATAAAAACCCAAGCCCCCCAAGCCCCTCAGCCCTAAAAGACCCTAAACCCTAAACTCTCCCACCACCCCTAAACCCGAAACCCTGCACCAACCCTAAACCCGAAACCCTAAACCCCAAACCCTAAACCCTACACCCTAAACCTAAACCCTAAACCCGAAACCCTCGGTGGCTGAGGCAGAGCCTGACCGTTGACTCCATGACCCCAAGCTCCGCTTCGAAGGGCGGCGCCAAGGTCGCCTTAGGGCTTAGGATTTAGCGCTTAGGGCTTAGGATTTAGCGCTTAGGGTTTAGGATTTAGCGCTTAGGGCTTAAGGTTTAGCGCTTAGGGCTTAGGGTTTAGGGTTTAGGGTTTAACGCTTGGGGCTTAGGGTTTAGCACTTAGGGATTAATTAGCGGTTAGGGTTTAGGGCTTACGGTCTAAGGCTTAGGGCTTCAGTTTAAGGCTTAGGGTTTAGGGTTCAGGGCTTAGGGTTTGGGTTTAGGGTTAGTTTAGGGCTTAGGGTTTGGGGTTTTAAGGTTTGGGGCTTCGGGTTTAGGGTTTAGGGCGTCTTGGTTTTGTTTGTTTTGCTTGGGTCGTATGATGAATAGCGCCTTTCATACTTAGAATAGGGCTAGCATCCTTGATTTTTCAAGCTCCTCTCTAGAATTTCCGACCTCTAAACCCTAAACAAACCTCCGAACCCAAAGCCCTACAAACCCCAAAACCCCAAAACCTACAAACCCCAAAACCCCAAAACCCCACAACCCTAAACCCGAGAAATTGTTGGGTTTACTGTAGAAGCTTAAATATTACCGATATTATTCCTTATAGGGTTCCCTACTAGACTATAATTATTGTACTAATTAAGAAGCCCAAAACCTTATTCTAATTACTAAGACCCCTACGTTAGGGTTTAGGATTAGGGTTTGTCCTTAGGATCTAGGGTTTCTGAACCTTTAGGATCCTTCGGGAGTACCATGAAGAAACAGGGGTAATTGGGCTATATACCACGCTTGAACCCCCTTCCCTTAAGGATTCCGGTTTAGGGTTGAGGGTTTAGGGATTTGGGAGATTCCATAATGAGCCTGAGACCCTACAGCTTGATCACAACTTCCTCGTCAAGCGGGGGTGAATCCTAAACCCTAAACCCAAAGCCGGTTCAGGGATTCGTGAGAACTTGCGCAAGTCTCCAGAAAATAACGCTTGATGATTCGGGATTCCCCCCACTAGGATGCGGACTCCCACCTCCACTCCCTAAACCCTAAACCCTAAACCCTTCAAAGGTTTGACGTCATTTAGAGGAAACACAGGTGGGGAGTTTCGGGTTTGTAGGGCTTCTATAAGGCTTCCATAACCCAAAGGCTCCATGTACCCATATAGTAGATACTTAGGCCTTAAAGTACTTATATAGGGACCCCTTTAAGGCCTAAGTATCTACTATAAAGGTACATGGAGCCTTTGGGTAAAGTACATAGACGTCCGCTTCAAAGGTTTGAGGGGCTGAGTTCAAGGGCGACCCGGAGGGCTTCCCGGGAAGATCCAAAAGCCTAGCGGTTTAGGGGTTTAGGGTTTAGGGTTTAGGGTTTAGGGTTTAGGGTTTAGGGTTAGGGTTTAGGGTTCGGGGTTTAGGGGGCTTAGGGGGCTTAGGCCTCAACCCCAGGCGCGAAACCGAACCCTAAATCCTGAACCCCAAACCATTTACTATAGAAACCCTAAACCCTAAACCCTAAACCCTAAACCCAAAACCCTAAACCCTAAACCTAAACAATTGCTAATATTCTTCCTTACGGTCCGCTATCATAAGTATACTGTAAAGGAGCACAACCCCCTATTCTCATTGTCAAAGGCCCCTATATCTAGTACATTTTCAGGTGGGTAGTTACCGTTATAGTTATAGGAGCCTTATGGATAGAAGCCCTATATACCCCAAACTCCCACCTGTGGTTTCCTTTAACTATAGTATATATGGTTCAGAGCTTCGGAACTGGAACCTCGTGAGACCTGAGCAGGTTGTCCTCACGGGCAAAGGCTTTGCAACAAATCCTCTGCGGCACTTCGTTCGCTGGGCCCCCAACACCTCGGGCTCCGCAAAGTTTATTGGGGGGTTTGGAGGGTTCAGTGTTGAATATCGTAGAGTACATAGTTGCTCATACTTGAGATCTCGGTGCATGCTTTGTATGACTAGTTGGTTGCGGGAGCTCCCACCCTCCTGTAATAAAGAGCGACATGCCCTGTGGCTATAGCAACTGCAGCTGGTGTAAAAACTCGTTTGTGCTCGCCTCTACTCCCGTAATTATAACTCTAACCCGGGCGCAGAAAGCCCGAACCCGGCACTCCCGAGCCTAAGTCCTTAGGATTGAGATGTCCAACCCATCGCNNCCCCCCCCCCCCCCCCAGATCCTAAAGACAGCATTCCCAAAACCCAGGTTGTCTGATCCCTAAGCCCGAGACCCTAATATAGGTGCCTCAACAATTACCTTCATTATTCTGGGGGTTCCAGTTATAAAGGACCCCCAAAACCCTATTCTAGTTATTCGTTACCCCTACATTACGTCCCAAACCAAGGTTGTTTCATGTTTTCGGTTCTCTCTCATAATAAGGAAACCATGTTGTTTACCATAGATCCCTATTTATGGTAACATAAGTTAAATCCCTAAACCCTAAACCCTAAACCCTAAATTCCTTAACAACAACCCAGTATCTCAACCCATGCCTCCGGCCAAGGGTTCAGCGCGGCTTCACGGATCTAGCCAGTCAAGGGGCCGGAGTAAAGAGTAATGCTATCCATGGTGGTCCTATGATACAACTATAACATTAGGGTTTCGGGTTTAGGGTAGTCTATAACTCTGACAGCCACGATTCCAATCATTGAGGCCGTTAAGGTTCCAATACTAAAGTTACCTCTGGTTTAGGGGCAGGCACGTGTATTGGTGACTTCAGCACGGACTCGAAATGAAAGTTGTTGTTCGGATGCTACGGCACGAGTGGCCGGTAGGTGATGCAGTCGGCAGAGTAGCTGCAGTAACCGGAATACCATGCCGGAATGGGACATTATATACTGCCGTTACATGTCTGAACCCCTACTACGAAACCTAAACCTTGAATTTCTTTGGGGCTCTGATTTTGCAAAGTCTGGCCGGGGCCTTGCTGGATCACGTTCGGCAGATTAGCATAATATGTTCCAGGCCCCCATCGGAGTCTGCAGCGGAAGTACGTCCGTGGGTCCAGCGCAGAAGTTGCACAAAAGGAGCACGTCGTGGAAAGCGACCCCCTCCCAATCCAAAGGGGCTGGCCGAAGCCTGGTGCACCAGGTGACCAAAGCTAGGCAGGAAGCTCATACCCTAAACCCGCAACCCTAAACCCTATAGGCCCTCAAGGGCTTCCCCCAAGTACGGACGAGATTCTGAATCCACCGCGGCCTTCGTGTTCATGGCCAGTGACCCGTAGGTTCTGTGATGTCCAGGGCCTCGTAGAAGGACTGCACCGATGTCGGCTGCACCTGGGCCCAAGAGGATCTCCTCCGCCCAGGGAAGCCCAGGGTTTAGGGTTTAGGGTTTAGGGTCCGTTGTCCAGGTTACCAGAACTGGCACAAGGAAGGCTGGACGGAATGAGGACTGGCCCTAAACCCTAAGCCCTAAACCCTAAACCCTAATAAGCATTCAGGGTTCGTCGACTGACAGACACCACGTGCGACACTGCATAGTGTTTTCAAGTTGCGCATGCGTGGCCTGGCCGTACCTGCTTTCCTGCTACTGGAGCAATCGTAGGTTGCGTCCTTGCAACACCCAGCAGTGTGATACTTCCTGAGAGCTCATCAACCCACCTAATGACTGAATTACATGCTATCCTGAACGCCGGACCCCTCTAAACCCTTCCCCGCACATCGCGTCTTCCAGACATACCGAAGCTCACAAGCTCTAAATCCCCACCACAAATCCACAACCCTAAACCCTACATCCAAAGCTCTAAACCCTAATTCTCAGTTTTTGGACCCTACTAGGTCCCACACAAAAGGAGG